GCCTAAGTAGCTCCAGCCAGGTGGGGAGCTCAGCCTCGTCACCAAACTCGGTACGCCAGGTGTCACTAAGGCGGGCGAAGCAGCGAGACTGTGTGTGACCAAGCGTCCCGCAAGGCTGACCAGTCCTAACACCTGTGCGAATGACGTACGGGCAGCGAACGGTACTCTGAGACCCTCTACTCTGAGCGTACCACTCACGAAGCTGCTGGGGCGTGAGAGACTCGCGAGGACGTCGCTGGAGCTGCATCTGGCCACCGCCAGTGGAAGCAGTAGCAGCAGCAGCAGCCTAGTGGTAGTGACAGCGCGGGTAGGGTAGGCGCGGCAAGCAGGCAGGCAGGCAGACAGGCAGGCAGGCAGGCGCGGCAGGCAGGCAGGCGCGGCAGGCAGGCAGGCAGGCAGGCAGGCAGGCGGGCAGGAAGCGCGGGCAGGGCAGGTGCTCACCAGTGGCGGGCAGGGCCGGCGCTCGGTGGGCGGCGGCAGGGTAAGCGTACGACGGTGACGACGGCGTGGCGGTACCGCGTCGGCGGCACGGCGGGGCCGCGACAGTGGCAGTGCGGGGTCGCGTCGACGGTAGAGCGGGGCCGCGTCAGCGGTAGTGGGCGGCCGTGTCAGCGACCTGGCGGGGCCGCGTCAGTGGCAGGGCTGGGGCCGCGTCGGCGGGAGGGCGGCGCACGGGGCTGCAGCGGGCCGTACGCGGACTGCCACGGCGCGGCGCGAGCTGCGTAGGCGGCGCGCGGGGCTGCAACGGGCCGCGCGGGCGGCGGACGCGGCGCGCGGGGCAGCCGCGGGCTGCGCAAGCGGCGGACGCGGCGCGCGAGGCAGCCGCGGGCTGCGCGAGGGCGGCAGCTGCGGCGCGCGGGGCTGCTGCGGGCTGTGCGAGCTGCTGACGCGGCGCGCGGGGCAGCCGCGGGCTGCGCGAGCAGCGGACGCGGCGCGCGAGGCAGCCGCGGGCTGCGCGAGGGCGGCAGCCGCGGCGCGAGGGGCTGCTGCGGGCTGCGCGAGCTGCTGACGCGGCGCGCGGGGCAGCAGCGGGCTGCGCAAGGCGGCGGACGCGACGCGTGGGGCAGCAGCGTGCTGCGCGCAGAATTAGGGTTTGCGCGCGCGGGCAGCGCAGCGCAGGCAAGGCAAGGCGCGCGCGGGCGGCGCAGCGCAGGCAAGGCAAGGCGCGCGCGTACAACGCAGCGCAGGCAACACGTGGGGCAGCTCAGTAACCACAACGGTAGGTGGGCCCGAAAAAAAAGACGGTCCTACGGACCTACTGCTCTGATACCATGTTATAAACTACAGGCAGGAATGATAAACTAAAGATGAGTTTGGGTACAAATATGAAACCCTAATGGGTTTGTACCCTGTATTGGCTACCCCACTACAGCCTACATATATCACATATATATTTTGACAAGCCTCTCATGTTTTCACTCATGCATTGCTCCACGCGCTTCTCTCTGAGTCACATCACAACACAAGCACCCTGGGCGGAACCCCCGTGCTGATTTGTACGAAACCCCGTTACCCTTCGCAAACCAGTGGCACAACACACAACTCATCACTGCAGCTCGTTTGGGCAGGAATGGCATGTCTTCGGAATAGCCGAAGAATTCCGATTTGTTCTCGGCAGTCTCAAAGGATTCGAACTGAGAAAAGACATGCCAACAAGTGCTAGTTTGACATTTCAGCAAGCAGATTTACCAGCTTTCCCATCTCCCACACCGCCCTGGCTCTTCCTCCATTTCATGCATAGTTGGCTGGGAGTCCCCGTCCAAGATCTCGCCATTGCTACCACTAATCTCGCGTTTCTCAGTTTGAGTTCTCGAGGTGGACATTTCTCCTCTTTCTCGCTCTTCATCTTCCTCCATCCCTCCATGACATTTCTTCAGGCACACGCCATTCATCCACGCCAAGTACAAAACTTTTCCCTCACAAGTGCTCTATGCTCCAACTACTCTCTTGGTTAAGCTACCCCATCACTCTCAAAACTTCAACTACCAAGTCTTCAAGACTCAAGACTAGGATAGGGATTAGTTTATCTTGTGTGTACTCGTTATTGGTATTTTATAAGCCTACTATTGACCCATTTGTGGGCATTGGTTTATAAGCCCGGGTCTTTATTGCAATTTTTGAGGGCATTTTCATATAAGCCCATGTTACAGCCTGCATATCTTCTGTCCTGCTAATTCGGCTAGTACTTCCTTCCCCCTAACATTTCAACTGCCATGACATTTTGTTCACAGAAAAGCTTGTCGTCGGCCTTATTCACGCCGCACAATAACTTTCAGGGTCTTCAACCGTGCTTCTAGATCCCCTTAGATCTGTTACAATGTTACAGGAGCCTCCGATCCGACGGCTATCTGACGATTTGCTCGCCAAGATCCTGCACCTAGTTGTTCGACCCAACGAATCCTTACATGCTCTGGTGTGCACGGAATGGCGCGAGGTGGCCTACTGCGTGCAGGACGTCGTTCAAGTGTCTAGTCGTTGTTGCATGAATTACCGCCAGTTGCTTGACGAGCTCGCGGAGTTTCCTAGTTTGAAGAAACTCGTCATATTAGACAATAGTTTGTCCTTCGTTCCGGACGCTTTCCTTGCTGGTTTGGCTGAAAGCCATCCCGATTTGGTTGAGCTTCGCATCGACACTCCATCCGATCCGTTTAAACGAGGCACAACTTTCACCACGAAAGGACTTTTGGACCTATTTGAGGGTTGCACCAATCTAGAGAATCTGCACCTCGTTTGTCCGTCCCGCATCCGTACCATTCCATCTTCCATCAGCAACCAATCCCGACTCAGGAGCCTCTTCCTCAGGAACGATAGGATTCAGCATGAACGTGCCAAATCTACAGAACTTGCCGCAAGATTTCGGCAATCTTGTATCGCTGAAGACATTAAACCTGCTTGCTATTCGCTCTCTCCGGCCACTCCGGACATCCATTCAGCAGCTTGCCAATCTGCGTCGTCTTGTCATTCGTAATTGCGGTACGCTTCAATTTCCAAGCGGTCTTTCTAAGCTTCAAGGACTGCAGGTGCTGGAGTTGTGGGATTGTGAAGAGCTCATGCCGCAGCCTGAGGATTTTGGAAAGATGCCAGCATTGGAATGCCTACTCATCAGGCGTGTGAAAGGGATTACGGAGCTTCCAGAGACTGTTGGACTTCTGCCGCAGCTGCAGCATCTTACCATTGACGACCAAGACAGTTCCTCATAGTTACCCGGGTCCTTGCCCAATGTTTCATCTCTCACGAGTCTCGACTTGTACGTGCAAAGAGTTATAGAACTGCCAGATGGCATTGGTCGGCTACCAAAGCTTCGAAGTCTCAAGCTGAAAAGCTTAGAAGCCAATTTCCAAAGTCTTCCGTCCCTGCCTGAGGACTTTGGCCAGCTGACTGCGTTGGAGGTTTTGGAGTTGTCAGGTCTTGAATGTCTCAGCCACCTGCCGGAATCCCTTGGATATATGATCAGATTGCGGGAACTAAGTCTTCATAGGTGTAAGCGACTTGAGCAGCTACCCAACTCCTTTACCCTGCTATCTTCCCTTCAAAAACTGGATGTCAGGTCTTGCGTAAAGCTTACTGTTTTACCAGAGAGCATAGGGGAGGGCCTGCATCATCTCCATGAGCTGTTTTTGCACCACATACCTGTCACCCGCCTCCCTGCATCCTTCTTCCGTCTTTCATCGCTCAAAAAAATAGTATTGGGAGGGCTCGATGGCTTGAGAGGCTGCCTTCCGGAGGGCTTCAGCAGCTTCACACACCTTAGAGAACTACCTTTATCTAGCATCCCAAATCTGACTTCCCTGCCCGCCTGCCTCTCTCGATTAGCTCTCACCCTCACCAGCCTGAGAATAGGATACTGCAGGGAGCTGAAAGCATTGCCAACGGAGTTTGGACGGCTGGAAATGCTGGAGGAGATCCATCTTACAGGTTTAGACAGTTTGGAATCAATCCCTCGGTCATTGTTGAAGCTGCCTCGACTGCGGGAGCTGGGTATGGGCAGTTGCAAGAATTTGGGCTGGAGGAGCACTGTGGATACCTTGGTTGGGGGGAGAAGCAACTGCAGCAGCAGCAGTATCAGCAGCAGCAGCAGCACTCTGGAGGGGGCTGAAGAGGAAGTACTTCCATCGCTACGGAGCCTTATCATTTGGGATGTTGCTTTCCAAGTTCTTGATCCGTCCCTGGTTCCTATCTCTTCGTTGGTCAAGCTGCACTTGGAGGGCGCGCCTACTCTGCGTATGTTACCTGAATCCATTTCTCGGTTGTCAGACCTGGAAGAATTGGTCATCTTAAAGCCGGCAGCCCAAATTGCACAAGTTTTAAAAGGTTGACGCGAGGGGGTTTTTGTGGTGAGGGTTTTGGCGAAAGATTCCGATTTCGCTTTTTTCGTTTTTTTCGCCAAACCCAGCCCGCCCTCGTATTTCGCCCTGGGGGTTGGTTCAGTTCCCAAAAGTCCCAAATTGCAGGCACGCTTTTCTTCAAACCTTGAAAACACTAGTTCGTCAAGTTTTAAAAGCTTGACCCGCGCGGCCCGCAATTTGGGACTCGGGCTTTAAAAGCCAAGTGTCTCGAAGCGCTGCCGGAATCAGTGGGTGGACTTTCCAGGCTTACATCTCTCAGTCTGCTGCAACTGGGCAATTTCCTTCAAGTGCCAGAGTCGATTGGGCAGTTGAAGAAGCTCAAGTTCTTGAAGATCAGAGACTGCCCAAAGATATCAAAGCTTACAGAATCCTTTTCGAAACTGCCTAGCCTACGATATCTCGATCTCATCAACTGCCGGAAGCTGTTATCCTTTCCACATGATTTTGGGAAACCTTTTTCTCTCCGAAGGCTTTATCTCAATTAACTGTCAAATCTCTGCATGCTCCCTGGTTCTTTTCGAGATTTGTCTCGGGTGAAGTGATTTGAAGTGCATGATTGTGAGAAGCTATCTCAACTGCCATCCTCCCTCAACGATCTGCCGATGCTGCAGCATTGCAAGATTGTCAGGTGTCCCCGGATCTCAAGCCGGAACACTAAGAGAATCTTTGGCAGGGGTTATGGCTCGATAGAACCATGTGAAGCAGAGGGGGTGTATGAGGAGGATGTGGATGAGGAGGATGAGGAGGAGGATGAGGAGGATGAGGAGGATGAGGAGGATGAGGAGGATGAGGAGGAGGAGGATGAGGAGGATGAGGAGGATGAGGAGGATGAGGAGGATGAGGAGGATGAGGAGGATGAGGAGGATGAGGAGGAGGAGGAGGATGAGGAGGAGGATGAGGAGGAGGAGGAGGAGGAGGAGGAGGAGGAGGAGGAGGAGGAGGAGGAGGAGGAGGAGGAGGAGGAGGAGGAGGAGGAGGATGAGGAGGATGAGGAGGATGAGGAGGATGAGGAGGATGAGGAGGATGAGGAGGATGAGGAGGATGAGGAGGAGGATGAGGAGGAGGAGGGAGGAGGAGGAGGAGGAGGAGGAGGAGGAGGAGGAGGAGGAGGAGGAGGAGGAGGAGGAGGAGGATGAGGAGGATGAGGATGAGGATGTGGAATGAATGGAAATGGAGATGCTACGGGTAAGGAGAGCAGATGGAAGGGATGATTAGGAGGAAGGTACGAGCCTAGAATGGAGGGGAGAGGGGGAAATCATCAGGCATGGGGAAAAAATGTAAGAGTGGTAGGTAGGATATGCATAGGAAGTGAGCAGCATTTTTCTTGCTATGTGGAGTGTTTGTGTACATAACCAATTTAGAGATTACTACGGAATGAAGAAGCGCTTAATATATGCTGGTTGATGTGCGAATAATTGACGAATATGCTCCACATATGGCCTGATAACCTCCACAACAACTTCTAGAACTAGCTAGCACCAAACAGGCAATCTAATGTTCGCTGGCCTGGCCTGGCCAGCATTGGAATTGCTTCACTTTATTTCCTCACCTCATTATGGCTTTTCCCTGCTCTCCCTCTGTTTCCTTGCTCCATATCTGGCTGTTTCTCTGGAAAGTCTGTCCATTATCGCTACCAAGAGTCTGGTGTCATTTGTAGGAGTTGCCCAGGTGTCTGGGCAGCTGAGAAAGTTCCAGCTGCTGAAAACCCATCACTTCCCAGAGCTGGTTGGCCTCCTAAAACCTTTTCCAGCTGCATCATTGTTGAACGACTTGACTGCGGTGAGCGAACAGCTATCACGTGCCCTGCCCTAGCATGAAGTTGGTGTGCTGCTGGGCTAGTGGGGGAGGAGGGGAGGATGTGCAGGAGCTGGAGATGTTGCTAGATGCGTACTCCACCCAGGTGGAACGACTGCCTAACAACCTCGCGTGAGTAATCTACTCCCATGTGATTTTCTCTCGTGTGATTTGCTCTCATGTGATTTGCTGTCATGTGTTTTGCTGTCTTGTGATTCGCTGCCATGTGATTTGCTGCTGTGTGACTTGCTGTCGTGTGATTTGCTGTCGTGTGTTCCGTTGTCGTGTTATCTGCCGTTTCAAAAGGGGTTATGCTTTCGAGCCGCTCTAACTGTATCTGAAGATGCAAAAGGTGTATTTCATGCAGGTGGAGCTGCTGAACGGGCTCACAGCAGTGAGTGCAGTGTTGTCACATGCTCTGCTGTCATCCCCCATACCCACCTCAGATCTTCTTATCTCTCCTTTTCTCAAACCGTGTACCTCTCCTCTGCTCCCCTTTCTTCCCCCTGCTCATCAAGTACCGCATGCGGACGACTCAGAGGAATAGCATGAGAAAACCCAATTGCCCTTCTCTTATCTCATCTGACCTTCGGATATCTCCTCTCCTTTTCTCATGCGGTATAATTCTCCCCCTCTCCTCCCCTTCCCCCCCCCCTGCTCTACAAGTACCGTATGCGGACGACTCAGAGGATTAGTCTGTGAATACCCCACATGTCCTTCGCTTACTCCTCTTCTTACATTTCACCTGCTGTCTCCCTCCCCTGGTTCAACAGGTTGAAAGACATGTACCACACCAAACCTGGTAATTGTACGTGGCTTGTGATACTACCGTACAATCCATCAATATCACCAAGGAATGGCCTCTACGTGGTTGCATAGCAGCGCTAACAACAGCCGAAATCCACTTGTTGCTAGCGGAAACTACAGACAAGCTTCTCTTGTAGAGCATGAGGAAGAGAGTTGGACTCACCACCACTCATCGTCAAACCAAGGTCCTTTCTGTTGGTGGCTGTTGTGTTGCTTAACTGTGGTGGGTGGTTATTTTGGATTCTTCTTAGTACAACAGGTTAGATATGTTACAGAACTGTAATGTACCATAGTACCATCACATTATCAAGTATGATTTATGCTCTATGCTCTATGCCACCGTACCCCATGCCCACATCACGCATCTTCACAAGAATCTCAACACGCGTCTTCACGAGAATCTCTAGAAAACACGCAAATAAAATCCTCGTCCGGCTTTCCACGCTTGGGCACTCGCAGAAAATCACTCCTCGAACCAAACAACTCCACATCTCGGGCAGCACACACATCTTTAAACTTTTCTTCTGCCCACCCGGGCAGCTCATCAGGCTGCACTTCCTCCCCAAACGCCCCCAAACTCGCTCCAGCCAACCCCTTTGCAACCATCAGCATCGTTTTCAAATCCTGCAAATCCTGGCTCGTAAGCTCGACCTTCCGAAAATGCACATGGTGCGCCTTACACGCCGCATCCTTGCGCATGCAATCAAAGCGATTCAAATGCTTAAACTCCGCATCCCGCTCCTGCTCGTCCCCCTTGCGGCACATCTTGAGGAAATACGGCATTCCGGAGTTGAGAGTTAGCGAATAGTACAAGTCATGCACAACCCTGTAGGGCATGATCTCAATCACTACAGTGGAGCGGCGTGCGAGGAGAGGCACGTTCATGAAGGAGGCGCTGTGGATTGAGATGATGATGTCGGCTGATTGAAGCGCTTCGAACTGCTGGTGGAATGTCAGGTGCCCCAACTCGGCCATGGTGACCTGGAGAAGAGGCACGTGTGGATGGATGATGGGGAAGAGCAAAAGAAAAGAAGAGGAAGATGAACGACGAGGAGGATGAACGACGAGGAGGATGAAAGATTGAAGACAGATGGCCCAACTCGGCCATGGTCACCTGGAGAGGAGGCACGTGTGGATGGAGGTGCAGGGAAAATGAAAGCAAGAAGACGAACGCAAGAATATGAGGAAGCATAAAGAAGAGGAACACAGGTAACATGTTTCGGTGCATTTGGGACTGGCCTTTTTTGGGTTTAGCTCCCCATAAACGCACGTTACCGAGCTCTTTCAGTCAGAACGACAAAAAAAATCACACACACACACACACACACACACACACACACACACACACACACACACACACACACACACACACACACACACACACACACACACACACACACACACACACACACACACACACACACACACACACACACATGCATACTGTGGCTGTAAAGTTTCAGTGGGTGGCCTTTCTAGGAACAATCAAGAAACATATCTGATCACAGTCAAGCTTTCAAAGAACTCAAGACATCAGATTAGGGCCATGCGTATTGAAAACCTACCAGGAACCCACCTTCAAACCTGCTCAAGCTCGCTCAAAATCAACCTGAACCCACCTGTAGCCCACCACAAATCCACCTAAAATCCACCTGAAACCCACCTGGAATACACCTGAAGTCCCACCTGTAACCCACACGTATCCCACCTGAACCACGTGAACCACCTGAAACTCACCTAGAACCCACCAGATCGTCCATCAGCCTCAGCCAGCGCCTCATGGCTCTCCGAATCAAAAGTCGCTGCCCCTTCAACTCAGCCACTAGCTGCATGATACACCACACTCACCAAGAAGCAAGAAGCTAGCCACCAGGCCGGAGGAACCCACCCAAAGCCCACCTCAAGGCCCACGTCGTTCAAGAGCTTCAGCAGCGCCTCATGACTCTCCGGCACGAAGGTGCGCCGCCCCTTCAGCTCAACCCCTAACCGTGTGATATAGAGCACTCCTCAAGAACCCACCCGGCCCTTAGATTCGAGGCAAAAGCAGCCCCAGCCGCGTGATATAGAGCACTCCTCAAGAAGGTAGCTAGTGTGCAGGAGAAACCCACCTGCAATCCCAGTTGAATGAAACCCACCCAAAGCCCACGTAAAACCCACCCAAAGCCCGACTGAAACCCACCCAAAGCCCACCTGAAACCCACCCAAAGCCCAACTGAAACCCACCCAAAGCCCACCTGAAACCCACCCAAAGCCCAACTGAAACCCACCCAAAGCCCACCTGAAACCCACCCAAAGCCCACCTGAAACCCACCCAAAGCCCAACTGAAACCCACCCAAAGCCCACCTGAAACCCGCCCAAAGCCCACCTGAAACCCACCCAAAGCCCACCTGAAACCCACCTCAAGGTCCAAGTCGCTCATCAGCCTCAGCAGCGCCTCATTACTTTCAAGGTGCCACACCCCCTCATGACTACAACAGCACTCACTCATCAAGAAGCTAGCTACCACGCAGGAGGGAAGAACCCACCTCAAGGTCCAAGTCGCTCATCAGCTTCAGCAGTGCCTCATGGCTCTCTGGCACGAAGGTGCGCCGCCCCTTCAGCTCCGCCCCCAGCCGCGTGATATACAGCACTCGTGGTTTAACATACTGCACTCTACAAGCTACCATGCCGGAGGAACCATGCAGGAGGAACCCACCTCAAGGTCCAGGTCGCTCAACAGCTTCAGCAGCGCCTCATGACTTTCCGGCACAAAGGTGCGCCGCCCCTTCAACTCCGCCCCCAGCCGAGTAATATACAGCACTCGCGGCCGCCACCCCTTCACCCCATCCGCCCCCCACACCATTTTCTCAGGAGGCTCCAGCCCCAGCTTGATCCTCAGGTGGCGGTCCAGGTAGGTGCCTTGGGAGGGGTGGGAGGGGAAGGCCACTCCCTTGAAGAAGCCCGGCAGGAGGAGGCTTTCGAAGCAGAGGGGGCGGGCTTCAGTGGCGGCGTTCCATGCGGATTCGAATTCAACTAGCCCGAATGCCATTGGGGCGTCTCCTAGGGTCCTATGAGCGAGCCTGGTGGGTGGGGGGGATGGGTGGGTGGAAGGGTGCGCGGGGAAGGAGGGAGAGACAAAAAATGAGTTCCGGAGCTTGTAGCCCCTTGAGAACCCCCAAGGGGAGAAAGGAAGGCCACTCCCTTGAAGAAGCCCGGGAGGAGAAGGCTTTTGAAGCAGAGAGGGCGGGCTTCGGTCGCGGCGTTCCATGCGGATTCGAATTCAACTAGCCCGAATGCCATGGGGGTGCCTCTTAGAGTCCTGTGAGCAAGGCTGGTGGTGGGAGGAGGTGGGTGCGTAGAATGTGGAAACAGAGGGGTTGGGAGTCGGTGGCGGCATTCCATGCGGATTCAAACTCAACTAGGCCGAATGCCATGGGGGCGTCTCCTAGGGTTCTGTGCGCCGAGGCTGGTGGGGAGGAGAGGAATGGGGGGGGGGGTGGGAGGGAGGACAGAAGAGAGTGTTTATGAGATTCGGAGTGGGAGGGGGTTTCAGCGGCGGAGTTCCATGCGAATTCGAACTCAACTAGGCCGAATGCCATGGGGTTGCGTGAGTGAGGCTGGTGGTGGGGAGGGTCGAACAAGAGTGAGAGGGGGAGAAGGGAGAAAAGGAGGGAGCGTGATGAGATGCGTTACGACCAGCCTCCTGCCCGTACTCGATCAGTGTGAAAAGACATGTGAGTGTGATAACCTATTGGAATGTTACTTTCCTTGCATGCTTGCCTTACTGTCGATCGTGCGTGCACAGCTGTGGAGAGTTGAGGCGCCTAAAAAATCACCTCAATGCACGCGAGAGAGAGGAGAGCAGGGGTGTGACCGCAAACTTGAGTGCGGAAAAAATAATGTGAGTGCAACAACCTATGAGTGCGAATTCCTTTGTGCGCGTGCTTTGCTGTAGGCAACGTACAGGTGTGGAGAGTTGTGGACACCAGAGGAGAGTACGGGCGTGACGGCGAATTCGATCATTGCCTGCATTAGAAAGGCGAACAGAGAGTCTGCTCCCATCTTTCGGAGCCTGCACATTGGATGGAAGGATGGATGGATGGAAAGTATGAAGGCCTATGAATTTTGACTTGCCTACATCAGCCATGCGAACAGAGAGTCTGCTCCCAACTTTCGGAGTACATTGGGTGGACGGATGGAAGGGTGGAAGGTATAAAGGCTTATGAACATGAATTGACATAAACAGCCATGCTGCAATAAGGGAGTCTGCTCCCATCGTTCAGATTCTGCACATCGGCTGGATGGATGGATGGAAGGTACAGAGGTTTAGGGTTTCTGAAACCCATCGGTTTGAACCGCACCAAGATAAATGACCAGAACACTAAACCCTGAACTCTTGAGGTGACCTTTTGAGGCAAGAAGCGCCCCAAATCCCCCGCACTGCTCACCGTTCAACGAACATCTCATCGCGGGGCAGCATGAAGCGAGTGACTGGGGTTTGCAGTGCAGCTGGTGCTGTGAAGTTGTTGGCCAGGAGGAGCGTGAGGACTTTCTCTGCGTGAGGCGAGAAAGCACAGGGAGAACAGAGCGACACGGTGACAGGGTGAGGAGTTAGCTTTTCTCAAGGCATCAAGCGAGTGACTGGGGATTGCAGTGCAGCGGATGCCGTGAAGTTGTTGGCGAGAAGGAGCGTGAGGACCTTCTCTGCGAAAAGGGGAGATTGTGGGTGGACGGGAGGTTGGGGGGAAGGCGGGAGGTTAAGGTGGCGATTTTGGTGCCGATGTGATTCACGGTGGATTGCAGTGCAGTGGGTGCCGTGAAGTTGTTGGCAGGAGGAGCGTGAGGACCTTCTCTGCGAGGAAGGACGATTGTGAGTCACAGCAGAGTTAAGTCACCAGCAGAGTTGCGAGAGCAGAGCAAGTATAGAGAGAGATCTGCTGCACCTCCTCTGTACCCACCACCAGCACAACGCACTGACAAGCTCAAACCGAGGTGACTCAAAGGTTACCAACAATAGCCCCCCCAGTGCGTCACAATGGTCTCACTCACAATTGTTAAACGTCTGCAGCATCGTCTGTCCAAACCAAAGAGAGGTGAGCTATGAGCGACTCAGACGCCTGCCCCCACCTCCATAGCCCATCCCACCAATGCTCATACCCACCCACCCACCCACCCACTCACATGCATAGTGAGCAATGTTGGTCTCGGTCTTAAACGTCTGCTTAAACCAAAGGGAGGTGAGGACGCATGTCCCCACCTCCATAGCCCATCCCACCACTGCTCATACCCACCCACCAGCATAGTGAGCAATGTTGGTCTCGGTCTTGTTAAACGTCTGCAGCATCGTCTGCCCAAACCGCCAGTCCACACCGCTCCGACTCGCCAACCACCCATTCCCACCCCTCTCTCCGCCCTCCCCTCCGTTCCCCCCTCCCCCTGCACTCCGCACGCCCAGGCTCCCCCCGGAAGTTTCCGTGAAGAAGCTGTAGAGAGCAGTGGTGAACTCCTGCTGCTGCGAGCAGTCGACAGGCGTGAGCACGGGGGGCTGGCCGGGTTGGGGGGGTGCATGCTCTGTGGCTGGCGCGCACTTGGGCTGCCCCACAGAGATGAGCTGGTGAGGAGGGGAAAGCAGGGGGAGCAGGGGGAACAGGGGAGAGGGGTGGGGAGAGGGGTGGGGAGAGGGGTGGGGAGAGGGGTGGGGAGATGGGGCAGTGGGAGTGAGCGGCAGTCCACAGGGGAGAGCACAGGGGGCTGGCCGGGCTGGAGGGGTGCATGCTCTGCTGCTTGCTGGTGCGCACGTGGGCTGACCAACGGAGATGAGCTGGTGCGGAGGGGTTAAGAGGAGTGAGGAGGGATGTGTGGGGAGATTCAGTCACAAGGCTGGGTTGAGGAGGTGCGTGCTCTGTTGCTGGTGCGCACTTGGGCTGAACCAGAGAGATGAGCTGGTGGGAAAGCAGGGGGAAGCAGGGGGAAGCAGGGGGAAGCAGGGGGAAGCAGGGGGAAGCAGGGGGAAGCAGGGGGAAGCAGGGGGAAGCAGGGGGAAGCAGGGGGAAGCAGGGGGAAGCAGGGGGAAGCAGGGGGAAGAGGGGATTAGGGGTGGAGAGATAGGACGGTGGGAGTGAGCAGCAGTGCACAGGGGAGAGCACGGGAGGCTGGCCGGGTTGAAAGGCGTGTGCTCTGTTGCTGGTGCGCAGCGCACTTGGGCTCACTAAGAGAAATCAGCTGGTGGGGAAAGCAGAGGGAAGCGGGGGGGGCAGGGGGAAGCCGGGGGGACAGCACATGGCTGAGCATTTGCACATGTATGTACTGGTGGCAGCAATAGTACCAGCGGTAACCACTGTTATGGTTGGCAACATGGCAGTAGTACGAGCCTATTACCCCCATCATACCCTCATTTACCTCATAGTCATTCCAGCACATGGAAGTGCAGGTGCACATGTACTGGTGGCAGCAGCAGTGGTAACCACTATGCAACCACTATGCAATGGCTACCACGCAACCCTCATTCCCCTCCCTCACCTCGTAGCCGTTCCAGCACATGGGCGAGCACTTGCACATGTACTGGAAACAGCAGTAATCATTGCGCACGCGGTAGCACGAGCATGTAGTCTGCTGCTGAGTCAGCGACGTCACGTCAGCATTTCTTTCGAGCGATGTCAGCATCCTTTTCACCTGGTTGGTGGTGAAGGGATGGTGGTGCAGGAATTGGTGGCGCAAGGAGGCAAAGAAAGGGAAGTAACGTTTTTTTAGGCGCTTCCAAATTAGCATCCCATTCAAGAGACGCCAGCATCCTATTCACCTGGTTGGTGGTGACGTGGAGTGGAGCAGGGAGGCAAAGAAGGGAAAAAAACGGCGGATGCAAGCGCAGAGGAGGCAGGCAAGGAGGCTTGCAGGGGTCATGCAAGGAGCACGCGCCGTAATCATTCATGGAAGGGTTGCAGTCAAGTGCAAAGGATTCAAAAGGGCAAGAGATAACGGCAAACCACAAATGGAAGGGAAGCAAGGAAGCAAGGAGGAAAGCAAACACCCAATATCCAGATAGTCACAAAGCAAGGTAGCTATTGAAAGGCGGATACAATGCACCGCAGCGTTATTAATTTAATCGCTGGTCCTAACTTATCAAATCCAACGGACTCCGTTGCGTGACGCAATGGAGGCACACATCTTATATACGATCTTTCAACGTCGAATTCAAATCATCAACAGCCAGATCCGATCGATCCAATCCAGTCCAATCCGATGGGATCCAATCAAATCCGATCAGACCCGATCCGATCCGATCCAATTCGGACATCATCGCGGCCTGAGGCCAAATACGTTGAGATGGCCATGGAACAATAGTAGTGATTGAATATGTCCAAACGAACAGACCGAGGCGCTGTGTGGCAAACCATGATGGGCTTCTTATTACGAGCCATGGGTTGCCCTAACATCCGGATTAAGTTCCAACATCCGCGTGCTATAATGGATCACTGTGGCGAATGCTCCTGCAGTGCAGAGCACCGTCGCTTCGCGGCGCAACTGATAGCTCTCGGCTCGAAAACTTCAGAATTTTCGGTTCTGCACGTTAATAAGCAGGAGGAGACGCCCCGAAAACTCCAGGTGCCTCGCTCCACTGAACATTAGTTCGCATGACGTGACATCACATAAGTCTAGTAGTACCGGGAGGTTCTTTAGATGCCTGAAATTTATTGAAAGCTATGATGACGTGCCATGAGCTCTGGTAGTGGTGGTAATTGATATTAGCTGACACTATAAGGTAATTGACCCCCCATAGTGTCCGGATCTCGCCTCCAGAACCACTCTGTCAGGATGACTCACTCCCAGAAGCAGAACAGAACGGAACCGATTGGAACGAAAGGAACGGAATGAATGCGACAGAATGGGACGTGAAGTGTCCTGCTTGTCACCGCCGGGAGGATCATTGCACGTTTCCCTTGAATGTTATGTTACTACTAACACTTCTACTTCTGTGATGACGTGCTGATTTTGACCCTTGGTTCGACTCAAAAGCCATCTTGGATCACTGCACGTATGCCTCAGACCTTACTACTTTCGTGACACTTCAGATGCACCCTTCGGCCAAAGGGAGTGGTAAGGTCTCTTCGACCAAACCTCACTACTACTTCCGTGACGCCTCACCTCACCTCACTTGAGTGAGGTGCACTCTTCGACCAAACCTCAATCGAGCTGATCCCTCTCGTCATGAGTTGTAACGTCTGCGGGGCTTACACGTAAGGGTATGAGTGCATCCGCTGCGCCTCAAATATAACCCTCGTTTTGACCCAGTGGGTAGCGAGGTGTTACATGAGTCCCGTGAGCAACGCATCAAGGGCTTTAACGTGGGCCTGGAGCAAGCTTTGACGCGCCTTAATGGTGGAGGCGCCTCGAGTTCCGAGTCGCCTCAATCTTAGAGGTGCCTCAAAACTCTGAAGTGACCCATGAAGGGCACTCACTTGGGCCTGCAGCAGCTGTAGAGGCGCGTCGAGGCGTGAGGCGCCTCAACTTTTAAAAAGCTTTGTCTCTGGTCTTAGAACGAATTAGATTTTGTAGAGCCTCGAGGCGCTTCAATTCAAGACTCTAGTGCCCGATGATGAAGGGCTCTCACTTGAGGCTGCTCAACTTCTAAGGCACCTAAAGAATCGCCTCAAGATTGTAAAGTGACACATCATGGTTCACTTTCATGAAGGGCTCTCACTTGAGCCTGCAGCAGTCGATCCGCACGCCTCCGCCGCGCCTCTCCCACTATTTTGTGAGCCGCCTCAGTAATTGACTCATCGTACTAAGTGGACTCTGAATTGGAAGGCTCTCACTTGAGCCTGCAGCAGCCGATCCGCCCGCCTTCGCCGCGCCTCTCCCACTCTGGTCGCGCGCACCCCCACAGCGCCGATGTCACCGTAGCGACTTGCAACGAGGAGCAGCACAAGCACCAGCGCACACCACCCGCATCGCCATGACCTAATAGTCACTAAACCGCGCTCCGCCATCCGTCTAGAAGTTATTAGAATCAACAGTATCCGACGAGGCAGTAGGGATATATCCTGAACTATAGTTCAACTGCGGTAGCCTGCGGTGACTGCAGGGAACGTTGCCTGCAGATCCAGCAAGGTGTGCGCGCAGGAACAACGGTCCGTGGGGGGAGCGACGTCGAGTGAAGGAAATTGTGAAGTATGATCTTTTATGAATAAAGTGCAATTATTCCGCTGTGTGCTTTGAGTCGACATAAATTACACGCTGGGAACGGGGGGAGTGTGCCTCATGACGCATGCGCCTTTCTTCCGCATTTGATGCTGCCGTTTGAGACAGCTCGAATGGGGAGAGGAAGAGAGGCTGGGACGCTCTGGAAAGCTCGATTCCCATGAGTCAACGTCCGCCGCTTTGAGGCGGTTGAAAACTCGCCTGGGAAAGGCCTGGGAGCGATGAGTGAATCTTGCGCCGACTTTTGAGCGAGTGTGCTGAAGCGATCAGTGCCCGCCTTTCCGCCGCCTTGCATTCACTTATCACCCGTCAGCCGCAACACAGCAAACCGGAAGCTCGTAGGGCCGCTTCCCCCTTCCCATTGCTACTACTGGCGGAGATTTTCTCACTGTGAGTGACATGATGCGCGGGGCAGTGGAAATACCTGCGTTCAGTGTTCGACTCATGCCGCTTCACGATTCCCTCGTGAGCCGGACTGGAAACCTGCGGTCCGTTCGGGTATTGGTCGGGTCCCTCGACGAAGCCCCCGATGGCGCATGATACGCGCGTTCATGAAAGATGCCGCTGACCATGCGTGGGTCTACCATGCTGGCAGAATCTCGAAGGCAGGACTCGCGTCGCGATGATTTGGTTTGGTTGGACACGAGGGGACACCGACAGACCAAGGTTACATAGGAAGAGCCTTGCAGCCGACAGAGGGATGGCTCTGCTTGAGAGCGAAAGGGGGCCGAAGGGATGATGAGAGGGAGGGCGAGAGTGTGGGAGTGAGAAGATGGGATGGGATGGGATGAGATGAGATGGGATGGGATAAGATGGGATGGGATGGGATGGGTTGGGATGGAATTGGATTGGATGGCGATGGAACGAAAATGGGATGGGATGGGATGGGATGGGATGAGATGGGATGGGATGGGATGGGATGAGATGGGATGGTATGGGATGGGATGGAATAGGTTAGGAAGGGTTGGGATGGGGTGGGATGGGATGAGAAGGGGTAGAACAAAGAGGATTTAGGGCGTGTAACCATTTTTCCCCGACGGCTCGAACCGTGGACCGTCCAGGTCGGCGAAAGGAAACTTGTTTCGCATAATGTCGTTATTGTGTTCGTGAATGCTTGTACGACGTCGCCAGCAATTCGAACCGTCGCGACACTTTTTCCTCTTTCCGACGGTTCGAAATGCGAGCCGTGGACAGTCCGAAACCCAAACGGACGGTCCAACAAACCTGACCAGAGACTGGCGAGCGAAATCTAATGTACAGTACATCGAATGATTAGCAAACGAACACTGATTGTGAGGTGTGACGGAACAGGTTACGACGATACAAGGAGGCTACAGCAATCGCGAAATTGTACAACACGAAAAAAGTGTCACATTTCCATCCGGACAGGCCAATGTTGCGAATCGGACGGTTTTGCTCTCGATATTAGGGCCGTCCGTTTTCAAAAATTTTGGACAGTCTGTAAAAACGCTTAAAAAATAAAAATGGTTACACGCCCTTAGGACACCGACCCACTTGTGTTTCCGTTTTCGCGCATGCATTTGTTTTTCTTCGTCGACGTGCATTTCCGCCAAAAGGACCTCTACCCAAACATCCAGCATCCAGAAAAACCGTTCTGCACCTACCGAAACGCACTGAAACGAACTCGCTATGACACATCTTCGTGTCCCTTGGTTCAATATATTTTTCGCACTGGACTCTATGTTGTCGCAGTCGCAAACCCGTAGGCCTTTCCTCCTCGTCCCAGCTTTTGCTTACGAAGTGGGAGAATCTGCGTGCTACTTTTCTGTTGTGGTGGTTCCTTCACGGTTGCGGTATGCCATGCCGTATACCTCACGTCTTCAGCAAAGTAGTTCAGCATTTCCGGTGCCGCATTTTCTCCAACCGCACAAGAAATTACCGTACGTTCTCAGGCGATTGAACACAGTGGAATTAAGAACAGCATCATAGTGTGCTTTGCGTGTGGAATTTGTGCGACATCGGGTGGACATGGCCCGACCGAACACCTCAAGGATTTGGTGCGGGCGACGTAGTGTGTGCGGAGAAGATACACTCTACAACGGTAGTGAGCTAGACTACGGGGGTTGGCACGAACTACTAGGAGTGATCGTAGCGCTGCCTTGTTCCTTAGTGCTTGCACATTCACGGGAGAAATCGGCAAGAGTTTCACTAGGCAAAGTTGGAATTGGAGAATCATACACAAGCCATGACAGAATGGACTACATCAGGCACCTCTGCAGCTAGCCTGGTCGACCGCCAGCACTGCATGGTCGACCGCCTGCCAGCGTTGCGTAGAGGAGCCACGCCAGCACTGCAGAAAGGCGACCTGCCAACACTGCAGGTCGACGGCGTGCCAACGCTGCAGCAGAGCGGCTGTCCAGCGTTGCCCCGTAGAAGATAGCAGTGCGCTCGATCGCAGGTGCGCGCAGACGATTGGCCTGACTTGCATCGTTGTGCATCCGTTGGCTGTTGTCTGCGCATGACGAGCAACATCGACTTCTGGATATCAGCCCGAAGTCGCCTTCGCCATCGCGACCTTGACAACGTTCGCTTGCCTTCGCAGAACTCGTCGAGCAGGTTACCCGGTCGACCTGGACACCACAAGGTGCTCCGATCGACCACCAGGTCCCCCGGTCGACCACCAGGTGCCTCTGGTCGACCACAGCTCCCTCTGGTCGACCACCAGGTGCCCCTGGTCGACCACAACTTCCGTCGAGCTACCCCCTAATCGACGGACCCCTTCCGGCGACCAGAACTGTCAGCGGTTGTCGCCGAGCTCCCCTCGTCGACCACTGCTCATTTGTCACGTCGACGGACTGCTCCGTCGACCTCCCGGTCGAACTGCCCACTTGTCGCCCAGACTAGTCCGTTGCAGCTGTCGAGCTCCCTGGTCGACAGCAACATCACAGCGAACCTCTGTAGCTCGACGAAGCCCGTCGAGCAGCTCCTTCACTGCGAAACGGTCGGCTGCTTCTCCCGTACATCCGACCAGCTTGTCAGCGTTGCCCAAGCGAGGGCGGGGCCAACACTCACTCCCGTTAACAGTGTGGGTGGGAGTTATTGGGAGGGGAGGGAAAGCCGACAGCAGCAGGCAATGACGTGAGTCTGTAAATATGAAATCGTTGAGACGTCTCGAAGTATGAAATCGATGAGACTTCTGGAAGTATGAAATCGTTGAGGCGTCTCGAAGTATGAAATCGATGAGACGTCTCGAAGTATGAAATCGAGGAGACGTCTCGAAGTATGAAATCGTCGAGACGTCTCGAAGTATGAAATCGTCGAGACGTCTCGAAGTATGAAATCGTCGAGACGTCTCGAAGTATGAAATCGTCGAGACGTCTCGAAGTATGAAATCGTCGAGACGTCTCGAAGTATGAAATCGTCGAGACGTCTCGAAGTATGAAATCGTCGAGACGTCTCGAAGTATGAAATCGTCGAGACTGTCAAACATTATATATGTTGTAGCTTTGTAGGCTACAGTGGGTTTAGCCTTAGGGGGTACACAATTCTAGGGTTGCATATTTGTACTCCCATTCTTGCTAGTCACATCATTCCTCGTTCTCATTTCCACATGGTATAGAGCAGGTTCCCTAGTGGGAACTTTTCCTAGGGCCCACCCATTTTTTTTTCCTGCCCGGGGCGCGCGTCGCCCCTGCCCGAGGCGCGCTCGGTGTGCTGCCCTTGTTAACAGAACTAGGCAAGAATGAATGAAAGGAGAGGGGTTTCACTAGCAGCAGTTGGGGTACATATAGCAAACCCTAACTGGGTTGTACTCGCTATAGAGCACCCCACTACAGGCTAGACAATAATAACATTCTGACACACCCCCATAGCCAAAGTGGGGTGTAATCAGTACAATGAGCAGGCATAGCAATAGTTCACAATTATAAGCAAAGCTAGAGGTGATCATAGAGGGCAAGTGAGGAGGAGAGACTGTGAGGGCGAGAAGATGAAAGGCGCCGACTGAAGCTGCAGACACACGGGCAACAGGAGCGGCGCGCACAGTGGCTACCGAGCGCACGAGGGCACCGGACTACGGGAGTATCTGGCTCCGCGGCTACGACGAGCACACACAGGAGCAACGGACCCACAGGCGACTGGCGAAGCAGGCTCGCTGGGCTACCGAAACGCGCGAGGGCATCCGGACTACTGGCGCTGCTGGCGTCACGACGGCTACCTCCACGCAACCTCCCCCGACCGTCCCACGCCCCTCTCACACACCCCCTGCTGAAACCCTAGCTCCACATCCACGGCACCCCCCTTAAACCCTAAACCCTCGGCTCCCACACACCCACCCCCCTCAGCGGCAGCTGCAGCAGTGGGAGACGGAGGAGGAGGAGGAGCCGCAGGTTACCCACACCGGTCACCCCCATGCCCGCCACCCCCAAACCCTAACGCAGGCAGGAGCGCGGGAAACAGCAGGGGCGGGGCACGGAGGGAAAGGGAGGCGGCGGGGTGGCTCTTGGGCGCCACGAAGAAGCAGGGCGCGGGCCCCCCGAGGGCGCCACGGCGGGTGACGGGAGGGGGGCCGCGCACGGGCCCCCGAGGGCGGCTCGACGGGCGACGGGAGGGGCCGCGCGCGGGCCCCCTAGGCGCCGCGACGAGGCGACGGGAGGGGGCGGCGCGCGGGCCCCCAAGGTGCCGCGACGAGGCGACGGGAGGGGGGGGACGCGCGGGCCCCCAGGGCGCCGCGACGAGGCGACGGGAGGAGGACGACGGGGGGCAGCGCGCAGGTCCCCGGGGGCGCCACGACGGGCAGGAAACCGCCGCGCGCCTCGGGGCGCACGGCGGGCAGAAAACCGCCGTACGCCCTGAGCGCACGGCGGGATGAAAAACCCTAAAATTTTTCGCGGCAGGAAGAAGACGGCGCGCGCCCGAGGCGTGCGAGAAGCAGAATAGCAGCGGAAGCAGTTAGGTGGCGGGCCCACCCACAGGATCGACCCAAGGGGGTCGACCTGCTCTGATAGCATGTTAACAGAACTAGGCAAGAATGAATGAAAGGAGAGGGGTTTCACTAGCAGCAGTTGGGGTACATATAGCAAACCCTAACTGGGTTGTACTCGCTATAGAGCACCCCACTACAGGC